AAGGGTTGAGTGAGTGAGTCAGTTAGTGAATGAGTGGGTGAAAGGAGATGAATTGGAAGCAATGAGTCTAGACAATATTTTCTGGTTGTTAAACAGAGGAAAGATACAAAACAATTGCTTGAAAGGTCAACAAAGGGAATTATAAGGCTAGAGAAAGTGTGGTGTATAGGAAGCTGGTAGATTGAAGGAGAATGAAGATTAAAGAAAAGGAATGATTGTACGGATAGTCTGCTGGTAGAGGATTGAAGAGGCTGAGATCAAGGGCACAAGTACAGAGTCAGCCTTGATGAAAAGACTGGAGTAAAGGAAGAGAAAATGGGAGAGAATATTACAGGAAAAAAAATCGACAGGGCTAAATTGTCTTTCCTATATGGGAGTTCCATTTTTGCAATATCTCTTCTTGTTCATCTTTTCATCTTTTAGAGATTTTTCTATTACCAGCAGTTCCTCCCAGAAGGCACTACATATCAGGATGTCCATTCTTGTATTTGGTTGTGCCTTCTCTCAAACCCTTAAAAGTATATATATATATTTGCTGCAGAGTGTGATCTAGCTTTGTGGAAGAATGCTCTAATATAAATCCTCATGTTATGTTACTTCAGACCATGTTTTTGCTCTTATCTATGTCCTTGAACTGATTACTGAAAAACAAGCACATTGGTGGTGGTTAGTGAGCTACAGTCTTAGAAGCTCTGATCTACAGGGTTCCTTAAATCTGGGGTAGTCCTCTTCTGAGGAATCAAACTGGCTTGTGTGAGGTGGGAGTGTGGATGGGGATAGCCCAGAGGGGCTCACCACAGAAACAAAGAAATGGATACAAGAGATATTCTGAAGGAACAACAATAATAAAAATAGCTGATGTTTATATAGGCTTTAAGGTTTACAAAGCCTTTACATGGATTATCTCATTTGCAAGAAATCTTTGAAGTTAAAAACTAAGATTTAGGCTTTAGAGCTATAAGGCACTTTGTAGGTCAATCTAGTCCAGTCCTTTCATTTTAAAGAAGAGGACACTGAAACTCTGAGAGGTTAAATAACTTCCCTAAAGTTACATAACAGCCACCACTTCCCATCCCTATCATTTCTTATGCCCCAACACCACCTAGCTATGTCCATGCTACTCCCATTGTATTCTCAAGGATACACAATATTTGTTCATCTAGCCTTGACAATCCTAGACTTTTTTCCTCCTGTTCCTTCCAACTAATCAATGGCACTCATAGAGCTGTCCATTGAAGACAGTGATTGTTAAATTTTTAGAGTGAGTATTTATACTTCAGAAATCTGCCAAAACCACAAATCCTGATTTTTGCTTGTTTTGTTGATAAAGAAGTGATGGAGCAAATATTAATAATGCCAATTAAATTTAAAAGTGTGTAAAAGATACATTCTCCCCCTCCTTGGCTGATTGTTAAACATTTACCAGCAGTTCCTCCCAGAAGGCACTACATATCAGGATGTCCATTCTTGTATTTGGTTGTGCCTTCTCTCAAACCCTTAAAAGATTGGTCCGTAGGACCAATCCCTATTGCTAATTCTAGACCTTCCCTCTTCTCCCAACATGTGGCAACTTCTCCTTTGAGGTTCATTTTATAAGCTAGAATCCTAATATAACTGCCAGACTTTTTCAGAGTTATGACTAGTTTTACTATGTATTTAACACACATACTTATAGACATTGCTTTTATACATATGCTACCATGCATATCATATTTTCTGTTTTAATACAACTGAAAATTGGGAAGGAGTATTGGTTATTTATGTTGAAAGGCAAAAACTGAACAATTATATATTTTTCATTGACTGCACAATGGAATGAGTTTTAGAGATTTTTCTATCCAGGGAACAACTCTTTTCAGAATAGATTAAGACAGGACTGCACAACATATGGCCACAGGCCACTTGTGACCTGCCAAAGGATTTCAGCAGCCTGTGAAAAATGTAGGGGATGTAAAAGAAAGTAAAAGATGTAATGAGTATTTTGTCCATGCCCCACTTAACCCACCTTTCACTAGTCACTATTGTGCCCTTCATGTAACTTGGTGGGTGGCTTGCCACTGCATAGTCTCTCTGGTTTGTCACGTGACCCATGGCAACCAACCATTGTCTGTCTGTCTCTAGTCTGAGAGGAGCAAGAGTCCTGTCTTTTTGTTGTGTTTTTGATCATTACTGGTGTTGAACAGGGACAAAGTGAGTGCAGCCCCATGCCAACACAGCTGACCCCCACTATGTAATGAGTGGCAACAATGTGCAGGCTTCTTTCCCTCCATCACTGCATGATCACCCTCTAAGTTACATGAGTGTCTGGTGTTCTTTACAAGGTCAGACACTAAGTTCAGTATTTCTTTGTCTGTGAGCAGTTGCTGTGGAGATTTTTTGGTTTTAAGAGTAAAGTTTTTGGAGTGACTTTGTAAAATGAGTCATAAAAAGAAATGGAAGATCAAATCAGAACAAAGAGTATTTAATTCAGAGTGGACAAACAGATACTTGTTTACTTACATGACAGAGAAAATATTGTGCCTTATTTGCCAACAAATAATAGCCGTTCTGAAGGAATACAATCTTCATCGCCATTTCAAATCAAAACATCCTGACTTAAGCAAACACCAATGAAAAACAAATTAAAGCATCCAAATTGTTGAAAAATCTCAGTGGGGAACAACAGTTTTTTAAGAAAGTAAACTCAGAAAATGAGGTGACTACTAAGGTTAGTTTCTAGATTTCTATAGAAATTGCTGCTGCTGAGAAGTCTTTTACTGAAGGTAACTTAATAAAGAAGTGTTTGCTGATTGTAGTTTCTGGATTAAGTCCCACTTAGCAAAGTAATTTTTTTTTAACATTAATGTGATTTCATGATAAATAAAAATCTTAAGTAATTAGTGTAATTAATTGATATTAATTGACATTTCCCTCTTTGAAAATATGGTTTATTTGCAAAATAGTTTAATCATTAATTATACCTTTACTTGGAAAGTGAACTGCTAAAAACCTATCTGTGGCCTGAAGTTCACTTTATTTTAATTTTGGCCCCTACCTACTACCAAGTTTTATAGTCCTGGTATAGAGTAAGTGGTAACATTGTTAATTAGAGACAAAGGGACAAATCTGTGAATTTTTAAAAGAAGAAACAGTGAGATTTATGAAGTTTGGGATACACAGAATAAACAGAGAGAATAATCAAAGATATGTCAATAGTTTATGACAGACCTGCACAACTTGACAGTATGTAGGGACCAAAATTAAAATAGGCTAAACTTCTTTGGGCTACAGACAGGTTAGACTAGAGATAGACCGATGATGGTTGGTTGCCATGGGTCACATGACAAATAGGAGAGAATGTGCAGTAGCAATCTTACATTCTTTACAAGCCGCCCGAAATCCTTTGGTGACTTGCAAGCAACCTGCAGGCCATATATTGTGCAGGCCTGCTCTACACAAAGGATTTTAACTTTTTTTGTGTGTTGGAGAACCCTTTGGCAGTCTAATGAAGCCCATGGATTTCATCCCAGAATAATGTTTTTCAATAATTCAAGGAAATGCTGTTTCAGTTAGAAGTTGATGAAAATAAACGTGCTTTTTTTCCCCTTTCAAGTTCATATATCCCCTGAAATCCATCCATGGACCTCAGGTTCAGAATACCTAGTCTAGACCTATATCATCTTACTCCTAGCTAGCTAAACTGACCTCCTATGTATATTCAGCATACGGCTGCTACACTAATTTCCCCAAAACATTTCTTTGAAAACACTCACACCCCAAAATTTACACTGCTTCTCTGTTATATAACATGTCAAACCCAAACCCCTCTAATCATGTTTTCAAGGCCCCACTTTATCCACCTTCACTTTCCAGTACTATACAACATTACCTTCTATTACCGTAAGTCAGGTCTCTCTATTGACCTCCCCATATAGCATATTTCAAAGTCTATCAAAGCTTAAAGTTTAAGTTGTTAAAGCTTAAAACTGCATAAGACTTTGAGATACCTTGTATATGGCAAACTTCTATCTGTCTCTTTGCATTTACTTGTGTTACTTACCCTTCCCTTGAATACTATCTGTCCTCTATTCTGCCTCCTGAATCCTACCCATGGGATCAAGCCACATGTCTTACAAGAAGTCTAGTCTACTTACCTTTGTACATACTGATGTCCCTGTTATCTGAACAATTATACCCTTACAGTAAGTACCAAAAAGTTTAATGCAGAATTGAACACTATTTCATTGAGTATTAACTTTTGTTTCTCCAATTACAGTGTAAATTCTTTGAGGACAGGGATGAAGAGGGCAAGAACTGTTTTTTTATCCATCTTTGTATGACAAATATACAAAAAAATAGTGACGAGCACATAGTTAAAACTTTATAAAAATATTTGCCAAATGAATGAATCTCATAGCTGGGTATGTACAAAACATGGTCAAGACATTATTGGGCATATGCATGATACACAACAAATAATCTCTGAACAAAGTTTGACTTTTATACATTACTTTATAGTAAAATTTTCTTAAGGTATTTCCTAGAAAATATTTTCACTAGCTAGATCTTATAAACATATATCCATGTATTCCAAAATGTATTATTTACATAAAAGAATTTGTATTAAACCACTGTGTCAAGTAAATAACAGAAAGTACATGGGTTCACAGATTTAAAGCTAGAAAGATCTTAGAAACCTGTTTTGTTTAACCTACTTTGTTTTATAGACGGGGAAACTGGGGCCCAGAAAGTTGAAGTGACTTGTTCAAGGTCATTGAAGAAGTAGCTTACAGATTCAGAATTTGAAGCCAGATCTTTGGATTCCATGTACAGTATTCTTTCCACTGTGCCAAACTATTTACTATTATCTATTACCCTAATTTTAAATTGTTGTGAAATAATTTCTCATGAAAAATTTGTTACAGTTTGCAATGTCTACACATCTCCATGTAAGGATTACTACTGAAAATACTCTTTATGACATAACAAACAGAATGAAAATAATAAAATGTTCAACTTACTGCTTTATCTCCCAGAGCAGTTTTGAGACTAAGTCTCACTTTAAAAGCATTTTCTGCATCTGCCATAAAGAAAGAGAAACAATAGATCAAAACTAAACTTTCCAACAGTTAAAAACACAAGTTTGAATCAAACACACTTGAAACAAAAAAGAAAACATATCAACATTCCTGGAATGCAACTCTACACTATAGATTTTCACTAGAAAGTTTCTTATAATTATTTTAGACCACCAGTTTTAAAGTTTGTTTAGGGCTCATAAAATAGACATGGGTTATGCTATAATATACATGAAGATTACTGAAATAGATTGTCAAGCTAGCAAGTATGTTAATCATCAAGAAAGCTGTTATCTTATTTTCAAGACTTAGGGAAGCTTACCTGGTTGACAGAGCTGAGCATGGATAACAGTAACCAGAGACAAGGTAGGAAACAAAGCCACTAGCATCCTGCCAGAGTGGAAACCTTAAGGCAAAAGGGAAAAACCTACCACTGTAAGTCAGTCTTAAACTTTCTGTGGCCCAGGATTAAAATATCAGACCAACAGATGAGCCACCTACTAAAAGGTTTAATAATTAATCCACATCACTACAGCTAATACAGTTATAGATGCAGACCTCCTCTGTCAGTTATTTACTAAAATCTGTTTGGAAAAAAGAGATGGGTTTTTCTTCCCAAACTCTGCTCTAAAAAAACATTTCTTGTGCTCACCAAAATTCTTCATTCTTATCTTTTTAACTCATGGTCCCGCTTGATGTATATTGCAAAGAAAAGAACTATATCGGAAAATGTCCTTGGGTTCAGCTTGGTATTTGATGGTTAAAATAGTTTGTTATTAGATAGGTCATGTGAATTTACCAAATTCCCTCTCACTTTTTCTGTTGTTTTTTTTTGGGGGGGGGAGGCAATTAGGGCTAAGTGACTTGTCCAGGGCCTAGGAAGTGTTATGTGTCTGAGGCCAGATTTGAACTCAGGTCCTCCTGACTCCAGGGCTGGTGCTCTATCCACTGCGCCACCTAGATGCACCCTAGCTGCATTGGTCAAAATGGAAAAATTAGAAGAAGATGAGTAAAATATGCTGCATTTGGAGCCAGTATACTAGTAGTATGTGTACTAAATACATAGTATATGTTTAAATTTAGAATAAAAAAAAAACCTTGTCTATCAAATTTGTCAAACCATAAATACTAGAAGACACATAGAATATGCTGCACTTGGAGTCAGGAAGTCTTTGGTTCCACTTTTTCTTTGCTGCATAGGGAACAATACTTCCATGCATGTGTTAATCTCAGGCCTCACCTTCACAAACCACAAACACAGCAAAGCGCTCATTTCAATCAGAGACATTTTCACTTGATCCTGAGCTTCAGCAATTATGTGATATCTTTTTTTTTAAACAAATAAAGCTCTTAATAATGGAGTCTCCAAAGTCTACCTAGTTATCAACAAACCCACAATCAGAAAAATTAAAACAAGAATTTGATTTTAAATAGGAAATAGTAGAATACATAATGGAGTAGTCTTGACATACAGGGGTCAAATTCTCATGAATTTTTCAGTATCATAATTAAAAGCCAACTCCACCGTAGTAAGCGTTTGTAAGTTCTCCTCTCCCACCCCTTCCAGCTTGGGAGTTATATTTTACCTACTAACCTTTGTGGATGATTCCAATTCAGTAAACATCTCTCATCTCCTTCCCCTCAGTTGTAAGGGATGACATAATCACATTCACAGGAAAAGGTGTGGCAGGAGTAGAAACAACAGCAACAGTTATTCTAGTTTTTCAGTTCAAAAAATGCCATTTTGTATATCCTTGACACAAGCTCTTAGATGAAGTTGAGATTTGCCGAAAGGATGAAGTTATTCCCTAACCTGAAAAAAAGAAATATTAGGACAGATGAACTTGATTTTTATACACAAATCACACAGGTTTAGGCTGTAACCAGCATAGTGGATTAGTAGCAACAAACAACATTGCCATTCCCGAGACCTTCTAGGTCAAGCAAGAGACTGAACGCTGGCTGTTCCTCTACATACAGCCACTAGAATTCAGCCAAATACCTCATAAAAGTGAGGAGCTCAATTGATCTTTCCTCCTCTCCAGTCCTTCCACCAGCCTTGCATGTGACTGTAATTGAAGAGATTAGGATGCAGAGTTTTGGTCAACATAAGAGCACCTAGATTTGTAAGCAAGATTGATAAGCAAATAGAATGTACACAGGAGACACCAAATAAATATTTCTGCATGAAGTATCAATTAATTCAGTCAAAGTGAACCCATCTTTCTCACAACAGGAAACTTAAGTTGATGGTGGAACACACTATGAAAATTTTTTAATACATAGTACATGTTTAAATTTAGAATGAAAAAACAAACCAACCCTGATCTACCAAATTGGTCAAAATGGAAAAATTAGAAGAAGATGAATAGAATATGCTACATTTAGAGCCAGTGTACCAGTAGTATGTGTACTAAATACATAGTATATGTTTAAATTTAGAATAAAAAAAAACCTTGTCTATCAAATTTGTCAAACTATAAATATTAGAAGACACATAGAATATGCTGCATTTGGAGCCATAGTATATACTACATGTACTAAATACAAAGTACAAGTTTAAATTTAAAATGGAAAAAAACCTTAGTCTGTCAAATTGGTCAAAACATAGAAAAATTTCTTTAGAAGAAGCTGCATTGAATATGCTGCACTTGGGGTCGGGAAGTCTTTGGTTCTACTCACACTTCAGATATTACCAGCTTTGTGATACTGGACATGTCACTCAACTTCTAACAACTTCACTTGCCTTATTTCCAAAATGAAGATAATGACATCTACCTCGTAAGGTGAGGACTCAAATGAAATAACTAGGTTAAATGCTTTGCAGATCCTAAAGTTCTAGATATGTAGATAAAGTATCTAGATATGAACTACTGTTATTATTAGAACAAAGTAAGAGCCTGAGATATGAAATGCAGGAGTCTACAAAGAATTAAAAACTAGTATCATACAGAGAGCAATATAAAAGCACATGGTTAGTGTGAGCGGGTTACAACATAAAACCAACGAGGAACCCTGAAGAAAAATGGGAGTAAAAGATGCCATGGAGGAATATTATGAAAGGAAGAGATGAGGGGCTAGTCATGTAGTAAGGACAAGGGGCAATAAGTGAAGTAGAGGGCTCTACTGTTACCCTCCAAATGCCAGAAGAAAGTGGGACAGGCCTCCAATATGTTGGTTAGACTTAAGAGGAGTCTCAGAGGATGAGATGGGCTTTTGTTTTTTATTTAATATTTTATTTTTTTCCCAATTACATGTAAAAATAATTTTTAACGTTTAGAAAAATTGAGTTCCTAATTTTCTCCCTCCCCTTTACTTCCTCCCTCCTTGAGAAGGCAAGCAATTTAATATGGATTATGCAGTGCAGTCATAGAAAACATATTTCTATCTTAGTCATGTTGGAAAAGAAAACACAACCCTTCCAAAAAAAAAGAAAGAAAGAAAAAGAAAGTTTAAAAAGTATACTTCAATCTGCATTCAGACTCCATCAGTTTTCTCTCTAGAGGTAGATAGAATTTTTCATTTATGAATCATGGATGGGTTTCGCTCTGCATCTTTGGGGGGAATTTTCAAATTGATTAAGATCACAGATTAGTATCTGAGAAATGGAAAGAGTGCTGGCTTCAATTCTGGTTCTGCTATTTGCTACCTGTGTGACTTAATATTTCTGGGCCTCAGTTTTCTTGAGGGGATTGAACTTCTAAGGTCTTGAGGGGATGACTTCTAAGGTCTTTTCCAGCTCAAAAGCTATTTTCATGATACCATCTTACAAGTGAGAATTCTTTATAACAATGTTCTTTTTGCATATCAAAAACTAAACTCCCTCGACTGGAGGGTGCAAGCAAAGTAATTTTTACTCTTAGGGCAAGAGGAAGGAGAACTACCCTCAGTTGGGGGTGAGGGGAAGGAGTGAAAACAGAGACTGGGAAATTTACTTAGTTCAAACCAGAAACTAGGCGTTCAGATAAGAGGTTGTAACTATTACAATAGTAGAGGAGGGTGTGCTAAAACCCTTAATCAGGTTGGTGGTCCTGTGAAAGGAAAGAAGGTGTGACACATGAGAGATGTTTGTTATTTATTAAGCACCATCTATGTACAAGGCACTATGCCAAGCACAATGTGTACGTAGAAGTTTGAAGTGAGAATCTACAAGATTTGGTAACTGAGTAGATATGATGAATAACAAAGAGCGAAGAATTTAGGATGGCACCAAAGTTGTGTGCATAGATGACCAGAAGGATAGTGAGCGATTTTCCTTCCCCTTTTTACAATTACTTAAAACTTTATTTAATCATCTAATAGGTAATGGAATTTTCCACCAACTCATATAAACATTTTCATAAGCTTCACTGGCATTTTTTTAGATGCTGCCTTTGTAGGAGCCTTAGCAGTAGAATTAGCTGTCTTTTGGATTGCTTAATTAGCCATTTTTACTTCTTTCGTATCCTAAATGGCTCTTACATTGAGACTTTTGAATTTCAGGATTCTGATACCACTTAGCTATTATATCCTCCAAAGAGGTGCTAGCAATGATAGCTCTTTAAAATTTAACAGCCCTGAGAGTCATTTTTTAAAAATTTCTTCTATCTTTTCTTGTGCTTTCTTTTATATAGAACAATTCAATAGATCAAAAACAGAGAAATCTGGAGGAGAAATGGGCTTATTTATTTGTTTGGTTTTAGTTTTTAACATTCACTTTTATAAGATTTTGAGTTCTAAATTTCCCACCCTCCTTCCCCTTCCCCCTCCCCAAGATGGCATGCAATTTGATATAGGCTATACATGCACAATCATATTAAACATATTTTCACATTAGTCATGTCACGAAAAAAGAATCAGAACAAAAGGGGGAAACCATGAGAAAGAAAAAAAAAGAGAAAATAGTATGCTTCAATCTGCATTCAGACTCCCTAGTTGTTTCTCTAGATGTGGATAGCATTTTCCATCATAAGTCTTTTGGAATTGTCTTAGATTCTTGTATTGCTGCAAAGAGCTAAGTCTATCAAAATTGGTCATTGCACAATGTTGTAACTGTGTACAATGTTCTGGTTCTGCTCACTTCAATCAGCATCAATTCATATAAGTCTTCCAGGTTTTTCTGAAATCTACCTGCTCATCATTTCTTATGGAACAACAGTATTCCATTACATTCATAGACCACAACTTGTTCAGCCATTCCCCAACTGATGGGCATTCCCTCAATTTCCAATTCTTTGTCACCACAAAAAGAGATGCTATAAATATTTTTGTACAAGTGGGTCCGTTTCCCTTTTTTATGATGACTTTGGGATATAGACCTAGTAGCAGTATTGCTAGATCAAAGAGTATGCACAGTTTGGTTGCCTTTTAGGCATAGTTCCAAAATGTGCTCCAGAATGGTTAGGGCAGT